GTGATGTGGCTTGGGCTGGCCAGGGGCTGCAGGCCAGCCCCACCCGCGGCTGCAGGGCTCTGGGGTCCCAAGTGGTGGATGGTGCCCCCTGACTGTGTGTGGGGCTGGGAGGGTCTCCGCTCTCGGACTGTGATGGGCGTACCCGGGTGCTGGAGCTGAACCTGGGCTCCCTGGGCGATCTGGGTGAGTCCTGACCCATCCTGAAACACAAAGTGTCCGCCACTGGATGGGCTCAAGCTGATCTGCCTCACCAGCACGCTGGCATCCACGAAGCCCCCCGTGGGGCTGCTGCTGCAGAGGCCCAGCCCAGGGCCAGGAGCCCCTGCACGCACATTCTGCAGGGCATGCCCTGGCCTGGGGCTGGGCTATGTGGGGCTCTGGGTCTGAACCTGCTGGGATATGGGGATGTGACCTGAATGTACCATGGAGACCCGTGCTCAAACTGCCATGGCTGAGTGCCAAACTGGAAGCCTGGAGAGGTGGGACTGGGGAGTGGCAGTGGGGCCAGTGTGACTTGTGGGATTCCCTTGAACCCAGGGCCCATGCCCTGCAGGGCAACATTCATGTTCTGCCCACCCGCAGGGCTCCCTCTCACCATCAGCTGCTGCAGTTGGTGGCTGGGGGATGGCAGCGTGAGGGGCGGGGGTGGCTGGGAGCATGCTGGCTGCTCCTCGCCCGTGCCGGGGCAGGCCCTGGGCCACTGGACGTGGTGCTGGCTGCTCTGGGAGTTGCTGATGCGCTGCATGGCCACGTCTTCAGGAAATGCTCCCTAAACAAACGCAGAAAAGTTAGAGTTGAGTGAGGCGAGCTCCATGCCCGGGCGCCTTTCAGAGCCTGCACAGGTGTCCGGAAAGGTGGCTCAGGAGGGGCCAATGCAGGCCTAGCAAACCCCAGGCACCAGACTGCTACCCAGGTCAACAAAGGCTCAGATCAGAATATCTGCTCCGTGAGAGATGCTTGGCAAGCTCCCCTGCCTCACACTTTTCTTGAACTGAAGTATTAATACCTGCTTAATCCAACTCTACCGCAAGGGGCTGAAAGTGCTGGCAAGGAAGAGCATGGGAGGGAGGAGAAGGGCGAGAAGCACAGCACAGCAGGGCATCTCCAGCGGGCAGCAGACAGTGGCTCAGGATCACGAAGGTCAGTTCTCTACGCCCCTTACATGATCTCATTTAGTTTTCACAGTCAGGCCGTGGGGTCACTCCTATTGATAGACCATTTCCACAGACAGACACTGAGGCAGCGAGCAATGAGCTCCCTGGGCTGCAGGGTCCAGCCCTACGGGGCTTAGCGGGTGTTCTCCCTGTGTGCGGAGACGAGAGATTGTAATAAATAAAGACACAAGACAAAGAGAAAAGAGAAAACAGCTGGGCCCAGGGGACCACTACCATCAAGGCGCGGAGACCAGTAATGGCCCCCAACAGCTAGGCGCACTGATATTTATTGCATACAAGACAAGGGGGGCAGGGTACGGAGGGTAGATCTTCTAAGTGATTGATAAGGTGAAGCAAGTCACGTGATCACAGGACAGGGGGCCCTTCCCTTTTAGGTAGCCGAAGCAGAGAGAGAAGGCAGCATATGTAGCGTTTTCTTCTGTGCACTTATAAGAAAGATCAAAGACTGTAAGATTTTCACTATTTCTTCTACCGCTATCTACTACAAACTTCAAAGAGGAACCAGGAATACGGGAGGAGCGGACAAGGAGCGTGACCATTAAAGCACAGCACCACACGGAGGGGTTTAGGCCTCCGGATGACTGCGCGCAGGCCTGGATAATATCCAGCCTCCCACAAGAAGCTGGTGGAGCAGAGCGTTCCCTGACTCCTTCAAGGAAAGGGAAACTCCCTTTCGCGGTCTGCTAAGTAACAGGTGCCTTCCCAGACACTGGTGTTACCGCTCGACTAAGGAGCCCTCAAGCAGCCCTTACGTGGGCGTGACAGAAGGCTCACCTCTTGCCTTCTAGGTCACTTCTCACCATGTCCCTTCAGCACCTGACCCCATACCCGCCGGTTATTCCTAGGTTACATTAGTAATACGACAGAGTGATATTAAAGGCTAATGATTAATGTTTATACTAATGATTGATAATGTCCATGATCATCTCTATATCTAATTTGTATTATGACTATTCTTATTCTAACTATTTTCTTTATTATGCTGAAACAGTTTGTGCCTTTAGTCTCTTGCCTCAGCACCTAGGTAATCTTTCGCCCACATCGGGCCAAGCTATGAAGTGGTGGAGCCATCATCCAGCTCCAAGCACACGGGCTCTGAGGCCCATGGGCCTCACTATAGGCCAACACCGTGGACAGGTCCAGAGCCTGCCCCTGAATCTGGAACTTGGACACTGTCAACCCAGTGCTAAAACATCAGTTCCACGGATTTGATCCTGCATGAAGACTGAACACTTGATTGATGGTTTTCAGCATTTCATCCGTCCTGAAGGACTCAGTGCATACTGCCTGGTAGAAAAACGCAAAGGGAATCTGTTTCAGAAGTAGTCATTCCAGAGACAGGCTGGAAACGCGGGGACAGAATGGACCTGAGGCACTCCAGGTGTGGCCTGACCCTGGCTGGGAGGACAGTCCAGCTCCCACCTTCCTACCATGACGGTAGACCCCAACTGCCACGTGTTTTTTAATGAAGGCCATGTATTATAGACAAATGCATTTTATGGATGGCTCAGACCTGACGTTTTTGCCATCATCACCAACATAGAAATTCAAGGGAAACATTCAAAAAGCTGCAAAGATACCACCCACTACAGAAGCTGCCTCTCCTAACGCCTGAGGCTCAGGGACGCAGTAGACAGTGTTTACGTGAAAACGGTGCAAGCTCACATCCGGCACGAGGTGTGGCGAGCCAGGCAGGCACGAAGCGACGCCTGCCAGCAAAACCATTTATAAAGAGTGCTTGATAAACACACGGTTTATGTTCGATTTTAAATGGAAAAATTCAAGATCCAAAATTATGTAATTTGAAAGATTTAATAAAAAGACTCAAAATATGCCCACAGGTGATGGTCTCTGGGTTAGGTGGATTATAATGATTTTTTCCCTTTTTATACTTTTTTGTACTTTCTAGATGTTCTATAATTACTATGTGGTATTTTTATATCCACAGGGAAAAAAAGGCATCTTTTTAAAAAGTGTTTTTCCTGGCCAGGCACAGTGGCTCACGCCTGTAATCCCAGCACTTTGGGAGGCCGAGGTGGGCGGATCACGAGGTCAGGAGATCGAGACCCCAGCCTGGCCAACATGGCAAAACCCAGTCTCTACTAAAAAAATTAGCCGGGCGAGGTGGCGGGTGCCTGTAGTCCCAGCTACTCGGGAGGCTGAGGCAGGAGAATTGCTTGAACCTGGGAGGTGGAGCTTGCAGTGAGCTGAGATCACGCCACTGCACTCCAGCCTGGCGACAGAGTAAGACTCTGTCTCAAAAGAAAAAAAAAAAAACAGTGCTTTTGTTTACTAGTAAACTCTTCTTCCAGGTGTGCAAAGTTTGCACATGAGGGACTGTAATCTAGTAAAATAATCATTAGAAGATGCATAGAAGACACAAGGCAAAAATTTATTTGTACATTATTTCTAACTCAGAACACTTTTTCCTATGGAAATGCAATGACTATAGTCTCTTTCTAAGATAAGGTAGATCAGTGGCTCTGTACCTTGGAAGACTGTGCCCACAGGGGACATCAGGCAATGTCTGGAGGCATTTTTGGTTGTCACAACTGATAAGGGTGGGAGCACCACTGGCATCTGGTGGGGAGAGGCCTGGAGATCGCTAACCATCCTGCAACACACAGCACAGCCCCACCGTGAGGAATCTTCTGGCCCTCAACATGAACCGGCTGAGGCTGAGAACCTAAGACAGAGGAGGCAGCCCTGTGGGGCTGACCCGCCACACCATCCGCACCGTGTGTCCAGGACTGAGCGAGGGCTTCTCCTTGCAGTCAGGCCACCCAGGCGCACAAGGATGCAGCCTGGCCCTCAGTGGCAGCCAGACTGACCCTGGCTCTTCAACTTGTTGACACAGAGGGGGCCACTGGCCCTCCTGAGAATCTGGTGAAAGCTGTGCACTGTTCTTACCAAACACACCTCATAGCCACAAGCTTTACATGTTCACACACAAGGGGCCCTAAGAACCAGACCCTCACTCGGCAGTAAGGGATGAGGCCGGGGGAGCCAGTGACTCCTCAAGGGGCAGAAGGGCAGCTGGGTCCCCTGTGAGAAAGCCCAGTCTGGGCGGGGCCAGCCAGCAGGACCAATGGTGGGCAAGAGTCCTAAGGGGACCATAGAAGGTCTGGGGTTAGCAGGCAGTGCCTGGGCTCTGGGGAGATGAGGGGACAGCGAGTCGGAGTGCAGAGGAGCCTGTGCTTGCACCTGGGAGGCGGGGGCGGTCCTCTTCCATGACTGCTCCCAGATGACAACTCCCACCAGAGCAACGCTCAGAAAGAGGACAGCGCATACGTCCCCTTCCCACAGCCGTAGTCAGAGCCTCCTGCCAGCCCTGATCACAACATAAAGGGCTGGCGGTGTCTCCGTGCCTATGTGCCCTAGGCACACACACAGTCATCTCCAGACACCGCCTTGGCTGCTGGTAGAGCCTATGTGAGGGCGGTCAACACACAGCCAAACTGTAACTCTGCCCACCACAGGTTTCTGTGGTCTCCATGCAGCAGACATCCCTGGGAGCCCCCAGGCTGCTGGGCAGGGCTTCCTCCTCAGTTCAGATTCTCCACAGATGCTGCTTTTCCTGAGGCAGAGTGCAGCAGAGACCCTTCCTGTCACCCTACACTGACGCAGGCCTGAAACCAGAAAAGGGGCTCAGAATATTCACGGGGCACAATCGGGCTGCAGCAGGAAGAAGGGAGGGGAGCCCTCCTGGAGCCATGCAGGCTGGTCAGCAATATTCAGTACATGCACTGGAGAAGGCAAAGGCCAACCAGCAGTTCAGCCGTATTCGCTGTATTAGAGTGAACTTAGTGTATCAGAGTGAATCCCAGCACTTTGGGAGGCTGAAGCAGGCGGATCACTTGAGGTCAGGAGTTTGAGACCAGCCTGGCCAACATGGCGAAACCC